TAATGTTGCATGACAAGCTTCGTCAAACACTGTGGCAGAACACAAGAAACACTTATTTAGCCTTCGAGCCTAAGGGTCGGCTGGGAGGTCCGCTGGAGACAGACTGATTTTTTTTTTAAGATTTTATTTATTTATTTGACAGAGAGAGACACGGCGAGAGAGGGAACACAAGCAGGGGGAGTGGGAGAGGGAGAGGCAGGCTTCCCGCCGATCAGGGAGCCCGATGCGGGGCTCAATCCCAGGACCCTAGGATCATGACCTGAGCCAAAGGCAGACGCTTAACCAACTGAGCCACCCAGGCGCCCCAGGACAGACTGATCTTGAGTACCTTGCCTGAGGCCACTTTCCTCAGCTCCATATTGTCTTCTGCCCTCCAACAAGCTGGCCCAGAGTTGTTCTCACGGTGCCAACAGGAGTCTGAGAGTAGAAGCATGAAATGCCTCACGAGTTCCAGTCTCAAAACTGACACACCATCCTTTCTGCCACATCCCATTGGTCAGAGCAAGTGGTAAGGTCAGCTCAGGTTCAAGGGGTGGAGAAAAAGAGCCCTACTTCTTGATGAGAGTGTTACTAGACCCCCAAGACCAGGTTCTTGTGTCTCAGCGTCATGGAAATGAACAGCGAACACGAGAAAGAAAACAGGTGATGTTTATTAGAAATCGCTTGTACAGGGGGGCCCCTAGGTGGCGCTCTTGGTTTCGGCAGGGGTCACAATCTCTGGGTCCTTGGATGGAGCCCTGTCCGGCTCCGTGTTGAGCATGGAGTCAGCTCCAGCATTCTCTCTCTCCCTCTGCCCCTCCTCCCCAGCTCACTTGCACTCTCTCTCTCTAATAAATCTTAAAAAAAAAAAAAAAGTGACACTATTAAGAAAATGAACCATTGGGGTGGCTGGCTGGCTGGGTGGATGAAGCATGTGACTCTTGATCTCCACGTCCTGAGTTAGAGCCCCACATTGGGCTGAGTTTACTTAAATATTTTTTAAAAAGGGGCGCCTGGCTGGCTCAGTCGGTTAAGCGTCTGCCTTCAGCTCAGGTCATGATCCCGGGGTCCTGGGATCGAGCCCCTAGTCCGGCTCCCTGCTCAACGGGAAGCCTGCTTCTCGCTCTCCCTCTGCTCCTCCCCACTGCCCCTGCTTTCTCTCTTTCAGATAAATAAAATCTTTAAAATTTTATAAGAAAATGAACTATTCATAACTATGAAAAACATGGGTGAATCTCATAAAAATAATGTGTGAAAGACACCAGACACAAGAGTATATAAAGTTCAAAAACATAAGCAAAACTAAAATACAGGTATGCACCCCTAGGTAGTAAAACAAAAAGCAAAGCGAGGAAACAATTACCATAAACACCAGGATAGTAGTTACCTCTGGGTAGGAAGGAAAGGACAGTGAAGCAGGGGGAAGGGTTCAGGAATACTGGAAATTCAATTTCCAGTGGTAGTTACATGGATGTTCACTTTCTGATAAGTCATCCAGCTGTATATTTCATATACTTTTCTGCATATGTTATACTGCACAGATAAGATTTAGGGGGAAAAATGCCCAAGAGTGGCCAAAGAAATTTTAAATATAAGAAGGGGCTGTGATTAGAAAGCTTTGGTAGTTAAGAGGATTGTTGTCAGGAAGACAGACAAATGAATAAATGGAAAATAATAAAGAACACCCTCCCCCTCCCCCTCCCCCAACAAAAGCCCCTGAATCTAGACTATTTTGGTATATAATACAGGCGGCATTTTTTTTTCCCCCTGCAAAAAGTTTTATTGTTTTCATTTGGTCCACAGCTTGGGAGCGGGCTCCAGGGTGGTTAAAGAGCTGCCTGGCGGCTGCTCGGACAAACCCAGACAGAAGCCCCAGCACTAACGGGATGCCAGAGGGGCCCCTCAAAGGCTGCTGGGCTCCAGAGGCTGACAGTCACGCTGGAGGGTGAGCCTTTCGAAGAGATACTCGCCCAGCCCAGCCTGGGGGCAGGACAGCCTGCGGAGGTTAGTCAGGTGGTCGCCCATCTTCTTGATGGTTTTCACCTCCTCGCCCAGGAAGTGGCTCTCCAGGAAGTCACAGAGATGGGCGTCTGCACGGGTAGAAGCCAGGTCATGCAGATCCAAAAGGGCCTCGTTCAGGTTCTTCTCGAGGACCACAGCAGTTTCCATGGCGTCCAGGGCTTTCCCCCACTTGTCATGGGACGGCTCCTGCACGTCCTGGAAGAGGGAGCTGCCGCTGCGCTGCTTTTGCAACATCAAGAGCTCCTGGGCGCCCTCGAACTTCTTCTGGGCTAACTCGCGGAAGAAGCGGCCCAAGCCCTCCAGAGCCACATTGCTGCAGTCGAAATAGAAGCCCAGGGAGAGGTAGGTGTTGGAGGCCCGCAGATACATGTTGACCAGGCAGTTGACGGAGGCCTCCACCTCGGTGGAGTAGTTCTGACGAATCTGACAGCTCATGGTTGACTGGCAACAGGGAGCTAAGGTCAAAAACCGGTGTTGGTTGGCCCCGGAGGCAGAGGGTGACCGGGAAGATGGTTCCGAGGGCTGAGGCTGTACAAGCGGCTGGAGGGTGCTCGGAGGCTGGAATAAGGGGTGTCCCTGGGTCCGTTTGGTACAAGTTCTGTTGAAACACGGGGCCGATCCAGGGGCCCGCCGGGCGCACTGTTGATGGGGCATTATAATCGTGGGAGAAGAAGCTTAGAGTGAAGCATGTTGGATGGGATCTTGGGAAAGCCAACAAGAAGCAGTCTTCTAAGACTTTCCTTGTAAACGTTAAGCTGGTCCAGATGGAAAATATGGCTCCGCCATTGGACGGACGTTCGGTTACCCCGGGGCAGTTTCAGCTGTGATGGCACATCCGACCGCTAGGTGGCGTCTGGCGGAGCGCGGGCGCCCGGGAATGACGCGTGCGCAGTGCTCCTAGGTTGATCCGTAAGCCTTGCGCTCGCACACACGGGCTCGCACGCTGCGTTTACCGGCGCGCACGGCGCACGCGCACTCAGCTGCACGCCCGTCGTCGTGCAGTCCGGCTCTCGCAGCTTTTCTGGGAGCGGCCGAGCTGACCCCGCCGTCCGAGATGTCCGAGCTGCCCGCCGACTGCAGTGTCCGGCAGACGGACGCCGCGAATAGCCACCGCGACGTCCGGCAGGCGGAGGTAGGCGGCGGGAGGCGGGAGCCGGCCCCGGCGCGGCCCGCGGAGCCCGGAGAAGGTCCGGCGGCGGCGGCGGCGGCGGCCGCCGAGGAGGCCGGCGAGGCAGCGGTCGCCCGCGAGCTGGCGGGGCCGGCGGAGGAAGAGGGCGCGCAGGCCAGACCCCGGTCCCGGCCGGCGAACGGCCCGGGCCTGGCTGCGTTGCCGTACCTCCGCCTCCGTCACCCACTTAGTGTTTTAGGAATTAATTACCAGCAGTTCCTCCGCCACTACCTGGAGCACTACCCGATCGCTCCCGGCCGAATCCAGGAGCTGGAAGAACGGCGCCGGAGGTTCGTGGAAGCCTGCCGAGCCCGGGAAGCCGCGTTCGATGCGGAGTATCAGCGGAATCCCCAGAGGATGGATTTTGACATTTTGACATTTACTATAGCCCTCACCGCATCCGAGGTTATCAATCCTCTGATAGAAGAACTTGGTTGTGATAAGTTTATCAGCAGGGAATAGTCTGGTGATGGAACTGCTTCGAGGAGAGCGAGACTTAAACGCCGATCCTGTCGCGTTTTGAAAAGTCATTGTATATGAGATGAGGCCATAGTTGATGAAAAAAAGCATCCGGAAAGAGAGAGAAAAGATTCAAAGCCTCGTGACTCCTCTGACGTTGAGTTTGCGGTTGATAACAGATTCTTTGCCCTGCGTGGTGGAAATGTCTTTCAAAAATTGCTGCCCCAAAACGTGAAGAAGTTTTATGAAACTGAGACTTGATGAAGAAATATTGCCCATAATAGAGCCCGTGGTGATGAGAGAAATTGTCAAATACTGATGGCAGGAATCAGGAGTCACAGCTGAGTTATCCTGTGGAGAGACTGGAAGCCCACGGAGAGAACTTGAAATTGTCAGAATATGCGCTCTCCTCGCCGTCAGGGTCCACAGAAGGTTTTAGTCTAAGTCGATTTTGTGTTTTCGGAGGCATTTCAAGTGGCAAACAATGTAACTTGTATATATAACGTGATAAATTGTGTGTTCAAGAATTTCTGAAGTTTCTGGATTTTTTTTTCTTTCATTTTTTTAACTTAAGGTTTTTGGGGGGGGGTTGTTGTTTTTGGTAAATGTAATCACACACCTCCAAAATGTAAAATGTACGCTGAAAAGCCTTCCATCCCTGTCCCCCCCCCATCCAGTGCGTACCACAACCCACATCCGTAGGTGTCTCTTCTGTCCTTGAAATCTCCTTATGTACGTACAAGCAAATGCGAATTTGGGTGTTTTTTTTTTTTTTTAATTTCTTCACAAAAGTTGGTATATTTACTGACTTATAAGTTGCTTTTTCAGTAAGAACGTATCTTTTTTTTTTTAAGATTTTATTTGTTTGACAGAGAGAGACACAGCGAGAGAAGGAACACAAGCAGGGGGAGTGGGAGAGGGAGAAGCAGGCTTCCCGCTGAGCAGGGAGCCTGATGCGGGGCTCGATCCCAGGGCCCTGGGATCATGACCTGAGCCACCCAGGCGCCCCAGTAAGAAGGTATCTTGAAGATCCTTCCAAACCACATTTCCTCATTCTTTTTTAGAGCTGCATTTTGTTTAATTCTGTGGTTGGTTATGTTGTAATTTACTTACCCAGGAACACACTGATGGACATTTGGGTGGTTCCCCATCTTTCTCTTTAGATTTTTTTTAAGATTTTATTTATTTATTTATTTATTTATTTATTTGAGAGCGAGCACAAGCAGGGTGGGGCGGGGCAGAGGGAGAAGCAGACTCCCTGCTGAGCCGGGAGCCTGACTGGGGGACTTGATCCCAGGACCCTGAGATCATGACCTGAACTGAAGTCAGACGCTTAACCGACAACCACCCAGGCGCCCCTTGACAGCATTTTTTCCTTAACTTTTATAAAATAATAGGGCATCTTATAATTAGCAACTTAGATTCTTTGTTATATATTATAGCCATAGTGTGAATTTACAGAATTGAGAATTCTGGGCCAAAGGTACTCATTTGAAATGTTCCAGATGCTGCAGAGTTGCCTTCCATCGTGTTGTACCACATTCCACTTCCGCCAGCAACCGAAGGACATTTCCTTACAGCCTCACAGGCACAGTAAGCCATCAAATGTCTGGATTTTGCCAATCTATATATTTGAAAGATAGTATATCATTGTTTTGTTTGGAGAGAGAGCGTGCACGCTAGCAGGGGGAGGGAGAGGGAGAGACTCTCAAGCAGACTCCCAGGGGCTCAGTCCCAGGACCCTGAGACCATGACCTGAGCCGAAACCAGGAGTCGGAGGCTTAACCATCTGAGCCACCCAGGCGCCCCGACGGTACCAGTTTTGCTTTTCTCTTATGAGCGAAAAATCTCTTCTGAGAGTTCTAAATATTCCCTTTTCCATGAACTGTTCCTATCTTTTATCCATTTCTCTCCTGAAGAATTTTGTCCAGGGCTGTTTGTGTAATAGTGATACGAGATACAATAGCTTGTAATGTGAGTTATGGGTATTTTTTTCCCAGTTAGTCATTTGCATTTGGTTTTCCTGAAAGCCTTTTGGTATGGAGATTTTTTGCTTGTTTTTGTTTGCTATTTTCTTTTAAACGGGTAAGATTGTTCATCTCAAGATTTTCTTGGGGGGTGTGTGTGAGTGTGTGTGTGTGTAGTTTGTGTATATTTGAGTCTTTGAACCACTTGGAATTTATCTTGATGTACAGTAGGAGGTCAGGTTAAAAAATTTCTTTCTTAGATGGCTACTGGTTGTGCTGACACCAGTTACTAACTAGTCCATCTTTTCCCCACTAACTTTGTTTAAAGATGCCTCTTCATCATATACTAAAGTGTGTTTTCGATTTTCTGACTACATAGTTTTAAGTCTGGTAGTGCTAAAACTCCTCGTTATACTTCTTTTTCAGGGTGTTTCTAGCTGTTTTTGTTTAAGTCAGCCTCAAAGTCAACTTACCTTGTTTCAGGCAAAGCTTTTTTTTTTTTTTTTTGAGAGAGAATCTCAAGCAGGCTCCACACCCTGACTTGGGCTCAGTCCCATAACTGGGGGAGACCGTGACCTGAGCCGAAATCAAGAGTCAGGACGCTTAACTCTGAGCTACCCAGGTGCCCCTCAGGCAAGGCTTTTTTTTTTTTTTTTTAGGATTTTTTTTTTTATTTGACAGAGAGAGCGAGAGAGCACAAGCAGGGGGGAACAGTAGAGGGAGAGGGAGAAGCAGCCTCCCTGCCAAGCAGGGAGCCCGATGCGGGGCTGGATCCCAGGACCCTGGGATCATGACCTGAGCCGAAGGCAGATGCTTAACCATCTGAGCCACCCAGGCGCCCCAGGCAAGGCTTTTTTATTAGAATCACACGACAGTTAATTTAGGGATAACTGCTATTATTAAGATATTGAGTCTTCTATCCTGATGGTCTTTCCTTTTTTTTTTTAAGGTTTTATTTATTTGACACAGAGAGCACAAGCACGGGGAGTGGGAGAGGGAGAAGCAGGCTTCCCGTGGAGCAGGGAGCCCGATGCGGGGCTCGATCCCAGGACCCTGGGATCATGACCTGAGCTGAAGGCAGACGCTTAACGACTGAGCCACTCAGGTGCCCCTCCCTTTTTTTTAATTTTTTTTTTATTTTTAAGTAATCTCTATACCCAACTTGGGGCTTGAATTTACAACCCCGAGATCAAGAGTTGCACACCAGCCAGGTGCCCCTATTTTCCCATTTTTTGAAAAGACTTCCTTTGTGTCCTTCAGAAGAGTATTGATGTTTATCCTCAAATGAATGTTCCTAAAGCAGGCCTTTCACAGATCTAGTTATATATTCCTAGATACTTTTACCTTTTTTTGTTTTTTCTGTGTGAGGATTGTTTCTGTTACATTTTCTTTTTTTTTTTTAAAGATTTTATTTATTTATTCATGAGAGACAGAGAGAGAGAGGCAGAGGGAGAAGCAGGCTCCCAAGGAGCAGGGAGCCCGATGCGGGACTTGATCCCAGGACCCCGGGATCATGACCTGAGCCGAAGGCAGATGCTTAACCATCTGAGCCACCCAGGCACCCCTCTGTTACATTTTCTAAAAGTTTTCCTGTGTGTTTGAAAATAATTTATTTTAAAAAAGGAATTGAGGGGCGCCTGGGTGGCTCAGATGTTAAGTGTCTGCCTTCGGCTCAGTTTATGATCCCAGGGTCCTGGGATCGAGCCCCGCATCGGGCTCCCTGCTCGGCGGGAAGCCTGCTTCTCCCTCTCCCACTCCCCCTGCTTGTGTTCCCTCTCTCACTGTCTCTCTCTGTGTCAAATAAGTAAGTAAAATCTTAAAAAAAAAAAAAGAATTGATATCTACATATTTATTTGATAGTCTGTTACCACATTGAATTCTCTTGTTTAGTTTCTCATGTGGTTCTCTTATGTTGGAAAACAGGTCCTATCAAATAGTGAAAGTATTGCCTCTTTACAACTTTTATACCTTGAACTTCTTTCTCCTTATTAATTCCAGTACCTTCTGCCTAATGTAAAATAATGTGAAGGATAATCAGGCATCCTTGTCTTGTTCCCAATTTTGTGGAAATTCTTCGCATATGCATCTGTCACTCTGTGGATGTGTGTCTCGAGAATGATTACTGAATTTTGTCAATGACCTATTCAGAGTCTTCAGTAATCCTAGGGTTATTTTTATATTCATCACCATGATGAATTTGTTACTGATAATGCATGATCTTTGCATTCTTCAAATGATCCTTATTTATAAATGAGGTATAATCCTTTTAATGTGCTTCTGATTTCTTTTTTTTTTTTTAAGATTTTATTTACTTATTTGACACAGCGAGAGAGAGAGAGCACAAGCAGGGGAGCAGCAGGGAGAGGGAGGAGCAGGCTCCCCGCGGAGCAGGGAGCCCAGTGCGGGGCTGGATCCCAGGACCCCGGGATCATGACCTGAGCCCAAGGCAGCCGCTTAACTGACTGAGCCACCCAGGCGCCCCTCTGCTTTTTAATTTTTTTTAAGGAGGTTTGCATGAGTATTCTGTGAGGTTGCTGTGTCGTTTTCTTGTGCAGTATTTACTTTTAGATACTAATGTTATCATCACATCGTATAAATAATCTGGAAGCCTTCCTTTCCTAAATTCTGGAACACTTTAAAATCCCCTGGAATCATCTTGTTAAGGTTTGGTAGCATTTCCTTTGGGACTGTCTGGGTCCGTGCTTGGGGTGGTGAGGGTGAGGGTCCTGTCACCACTTCCCCTCCTTTGCCCCATGGTAAGAACAGTGGATTTGTAGGGACTTAGAAGACAAATGTGTCCTCACGGACTCAGAGTGACTGACTTTCTTGATCAGATGCCTTTCTTTGCACTCTGTGGTAACAGAAAGGAGTTGCCGGACTTGGAGGGCGACAGGCACTAAATATAAGCCCATGACCTATAAATCTGCAAAGTAGTCTTCCTGAGGCGCCATTTTCGCTTTCTCTGGTGTGGTGGGTATCTCAAGGTCAAACAGTCTCCCTGGGTTTGGGAGGTCAGCCTGGAGTTCCTGCTTATCAGGTTACCCAGGGAGGCTGCTTATTCTCAAGCGTTCTTCCAGGAGCTGGCCTGAGACTCTGGGTCCCTGATGGCATCGTTGAGCAGCCAGCCAACTCCAGCCCCCCTCCTACCAGTTCATGGGAAAAACAGTTTGTCCTGTTGTGCAAGCCACTGATAGTCTGGTTTGCTGTTACTTGCAGAGAAGAACACCCCAACTGAAACCTACTTATTCTGTGCTGCCAGGCCTTTGAGAATTCCATGATTAAATAGTGTTATGATGGGGCGCCTGGGTGGCTCAGTTGGTTAAGCGACTGCTTTCGGCTCAGGTCATGGTCCTGGAGTCCCGGGATCGAGTCCCGCATCGGGCTCCCTGCTCAGCGGGGAGTCTGCTTCTCCCTCTGACCCTCTTCCCTCTCGTGCTCTCTATCTCATTCTCTCTCTCTCAAATAAATAAATAAAATCTTTAAAAAAAAAAAATAGTGTTATGATGCCCATTTTACAGAAGAGAAAATTGAGGCTCCCAGAGGGAAAGTCCCTATTGGAGGTCACAACAACTACGTGGTAAAGGTCTGACTCCCACACCTTGCAGGGACCTCTTGGCTCATGCCCAGTGACCCCACAGTGCCAGGTGCAGAACAGGGGGCCCATCAATGTTCCATGAATCCACGCATGGCCCCCCCGCCAGGTCACTGAGACCCCTCCCAACACTGGGATTCTAGGACCTGAGGCTGGATGACCAGGAGCAAACCTGGGGAGCGACAGGATGAGGCTTCTCGTCAAAGCTTCCCTCCCTTCCCCCCAGCGCCATCTCCCAGTCCCGACCCTTGGCCTTGCCCGGGGCCCAGGAGCGGGCGATCACCACAGCCCTCAGGAGGCGGTGGGCCAACATCAGACGCGGTCAGACCAGAATGCAGGGAGGCTGACTGTATGTATTTCCCTGTTCCCCTCCCCGACCCACCCCAGCCACCATCAGAAAAGGACCTGACTTGACAACATTTCAGCCCTTTCCGGCATCCTGCTGAGGCTCCTGAAATAGAGAAAGAGAAAATTGTCTAAAATACAATAAATAGTTGTTATTTAAAATAACTCCATCTAGGGGCGCCTGGGTGGCTCAGTCGTTGGGCGTCTGCCTTCGGCTCAGGTCATGATCCCAGGGTCCTGGGATCGAGCCCCGCATCGGGCTCCCTGCTCCGCAGGAAGCCTGCTTCTCTCTCTCCCTCTCCCCCTGCTTGTGTTCCCTCTCTCGCTGTGTCTCTGTCAAATAAATAAAATCTTAAAAAAAAAATTAAATAACAACTCCATTAAAAAAAACAGCATTTATATTAGGGTTTACTATGTGTCAGGCACCATCCTAATGCTGCCTACTTGAGTCTCCTTGCCATTTCTCAACACACCGGACACATTCCTACCACAGACCCTTTGCACTTGCTGCTCCCTCTGCCTGGAATGCTTTCCCCCCAGATATCCACATGGTTCAATCCCTTACTTCTTTCAAGTATTTAAAGATTTAAAAAAAAAAAATTTTTTTTTTTGAGAGAGAGAGAAAAGATAGAGCCTGACACATAGTAGGGATTCCAGAAATCCTGTTTGTAATTATTTTAAAAACAGCTAAAATACCATGTGAACATTGTCTGGATCCTGATTCCCAAACCACCTCTAAAAAGATATATTTTTGAGACACTTGAGAGGTATTAGATGCCATTAAGACATCTTAAAATTTTTGTTGGGGGCGGGGGGGGGCGGCGCCTGGCTGACTCACTTGATAGAGCATATGACTCTTGATCTCAGAGTTGTGAGTTCAAGCCCCATGTTGGGCATGGAGCCTACTTAAAAATAAATAAAATAGGAGCACCTGGGTGGCTCAGGTGGTTAAGCGTCTGCCTTCAGCTCAGGTCATGATCTCAGGGTCCTGGGATCGAGTCCCACGTCAGGCTCCCTGCTCAGCGGGGAGTCTACCTTTCCCTCTGCTCCTGCTCTCTCTCTCCCTCCCTCTCTCTAATAAATAAATAAAAGCTTTAAAAAAAAGTCTAGAAAATGCAAACTAATCTATGATAATGGAAAGCAGATCAGCAGTGGCCTGGGACAGGGAGGAGGGCAGGAGAAATTACTGATGGTCCCCGAGGAAATTTTGGGGGTATGACAAACACGTTAATTATCTTCATTTCGGAAATGGTTTCAAAGGTATGTTCATATGTCAAAACTTATTAACTCATATGCTTTAAACGTGTACTATCTCTTAGACATCACTTATACCCCAAAAAGGTGACAACTTTTTGTAAAAAATAGATACAAAACAGATTAAGTCAGTAGCAGCTTGCAAATGTGTATATATAGTAAGTGATTTTAAAAATCCAGTATCTGGGGCACCTGGCAGGCTCAGTCAGAAGAGCATGTGACTCTTGATCTCGGGATTGTGAGTTCGAGCCCCACAGTGGGTGTAGAGATTATGTAAATAAATTTTAAAAAATGAATAAAAAATAAAAATCCAGTATCAGTGGCAAATAAATAAAATCCAGTACTGGTGGCAAATAAATTACTGTGCATATGCTTTAATACCTTAAAACAACGTTACCAGTGGAACTTTCTGCAGTGATGGGTCTATGTCCTGTATCTGCACTGTCCAATCCAGTAGCCACATGTAGCTACAGGGCACTTGAAATGTGGCCAGTGTGACTAATAACTGAGGTGGGTTTTTTTTAAGATTTTTTATTTGTCAGCGCATGCGCTCAAGAGAGCACAAGGGGGGGGGGGGTTGGGGGTCGGCGGCAGAGGGAAAAGCGGGCTCCCTGCTGAGCAAGGAGCCCGATGCGGGGCTCGATCCCAGGACCCCAGGATCATGACCTGAGCCGAAGGCAGCCGCTTAACAACTGAGCCTACCAGGTGTCCCAATAACTGAGTTTTTATTGCATTTCATTTTAATTAATTGTAAATTGCAAAGCGGCAGGATGTTATTAGATATACGGCTTTACAACAAAAAGCTAAGAAAGAAGAAAGAAAGGAAAAGAAAGAAAGAAAAAGAGAAAGAAAGAGAAAGAAAAGGAAAGAGAAAGATCTTAAGCTCTTTTGAAAAAAATTTAGCTGACATCCACTGAGCCCTTGTCGGAGCGATGTAAATGTATTAGGTTATGTGAGGTGTCTCATGGAAGCATCTCAACAAACCCATTTGACAGAGGATGCAACTGAGGTTCAGAAAAGGGTGTAGCCGACTTGTCCTGATCTGAACAGGGAGGGCGGGCTGAACTAGGACTGGGACTCGAGTGCCTTTGACTCCAAGGCAGTGCCCCCGCCCCTGCCCATCCCCCCCACCTCACCTCCCTCACCTCACCTCCAGCCAGTTGCCTGCTACCTTTTGCTGATCTCCTCCTCGATAATGCTCATAATTTTCTGCAGCCTGGCCTCATCCACAAAGCCATCACCTTTCTGGGCACAGAGGAGAAAGAGCGTGGACATGTGGGTCTCCCGCCCCCAGGGGGAATCCCAGCACCGCCACCCTCCCTCCCTGTCTGGGACCCTTGCTCTGAATCACCTTCTTTGAATGGACCAGTTTCCCATCCACAAACACTTCAAACTCCCCTGTAGCCTGGGCAGCTCTTTCCTCCTGCTGGAGAGGGAATGTTGGGGGTTGGGAGAAGGTGAGCACTCTCCTCCAAGCCCCTGGGGTCTCAGAGCCCTGACCAGCCCCCTCCCCCAGGCCACTCACAAAGAGAAGTCGATTTGGAAATTGCTGCTCCAGACTCTTTCTCAGTAGAATGAACTGCAGAGTGGAGATGGGATTGTGGGGTCACAGGTCTTGGAGGGAGGGGAAACAGGACCTCCTTCCACACTTCATGTCCTATACCCACCCCCCACCTCCAAAGTCCAAAGTACTTACCCGAAGGCCATAGCTTCAGAGGCCGCTGGAGGGAGGGCACAGAGAGATGGAGGGAAGACACTGCATCAGGATCTCCTCCAGCCCAGAGGGAGCTTGGGAACACCTGAGTCTGATCCCGTCCCTCCCGTTTGGAACCCTCCCACAGTGCCAGCTCACCCGGAGCAAAAAAAAAGCATGGTCCACAAGCCCCCCACGGGATCTGTCCCCATCACCTCTCTGCCCGGTCTCCTCCTCCACTCTCCCCCTGGCCCACTTTGCTCCAGCCACAGGGACCTTGGAGCTCCTCCTCCAATACTCCAGGCATGCCTGCTTCAGGGCCTTTGCACTGCCTGCTCCCTCTGCAGAATGCTCTGTCCCTGGTATCTACATGGCTCCTTCTCTCCCTTCTTCAGGTCTTTGCTCATACATCACCTTCTCAGGAAGGCCTTCCTGACCACCCCAGCTAAAACTGTGACCAACTGAGCTACCCAGGAGCCCCAAAGATCTCTGTCTTTTTTTTTTTTTTTAAAGATTTTGTATTTGACAGAGAGAGAATGAGAGAGAGAGAGCACGAGAGGGAAGAGGGTCAGAGGGAGAAGCAGACTCCCCGCCGAGCAGGGAGCCCGATGCGGGACTCGATCCCGGGACTCCAGGGTCATGACCTGAGCCGAAGGCAGTCGCTGAACCAACTGAGCCACCCAGGCGCCCAAAGATCTCTGTCTTAATCACTGCTGTGCCCCTAGTGCCAAGGACAGGGCCTGGTACAAGGTAGGTACTTATCAAAGGAATGAATTAGTGAATTAGTAAATCCATGGAGTCAGAGAAAGAGCTAGAAAGGAGAAGGGCAGGGGTGTATGGGCAGCTCAGTGGGTTAAGCGTCTGCCTTCAGCTCAGGTCCTGATCCCAGGGTCCTGGGATCGACCCCAGCATCGGGCTCCTTGCTGAGCGGGGAGCCTGCTTCTCCCTCTCCCTCTGCCTGCCCCTCCCCCTGCTTGTGCTCTCTCTTTCCCTCTCTATCAAATAACTAAAATCGTAAAAAAAAAAAAAAAAAAAAAAAAGCAGAGAAAGAGAGGGGAGATGAGGAAACATGGGGAGGAGAAAGATCCACAATAGGAAAGGAAAAGACACTGAGTTGCCTGGAGAGACTGCCTGGGCAGATAGGAACGGGGTTGCGGGCGGAGTGACACTGGGAGAGATGACGGGGAGAGAACTTTCTAAAGCAGGAGAGAGGCGAGCAGGTTGGAGGGGAAGCCCAAGCCCCCGCCTGGGAAGGCCACTGCTGTTACTGGGGCCGCTGACACAGGGACTCAGCTCTGGGACCCAGGAGAACCCAAGCCAACTTCCCTGGGCCGTTGCACCTGGGCTCCTCCCCCTTGCTATCCAGATCCCCTCCCACCGCCCTGATCTTCACTTAGAGGCCGCCAGGGGAGGCCGTGCCTGACCGTCCAGTCTGAAATTCCCCCGCCCCGAGTCTGGCTTTGCGTCTGCAATGCCCAGCTCGGCCTGGAGAGAGAAGCTGGGGGCTCCGGTGAGCGCTCCATCCCCGCATAGGCCCGGGCCATGGCGGGCAGCAGACTCCGGAATGAATAAAGGAGTGAGGGTGAATGGGGGAAGCTCGGAGCAGGGGTGTGAAGCCACAGATCTCTAGCCGCAGAGAGTGACAGGTGGAGGCATTTCCACCTGGGAATCTTCACTCCACCCCCCACCCCGCCCCCAGCAAATCCCCAAAGCCCCAGGGCCCCACCCCCCCAGCCTGGAGTGGGGGAGGCAGGTGTGGGCGGGGGCACGCCTCACCAGTAGATCACTCGAATCACGATCTTGCTGTCCATCGGGAAGCTCTCAATGGTGGGAGCGAAAGTGTTGGTAGACTCGGGTAAGGTGGCGGCAAACGCGTCAGGACCCGGGACGGGCACCCGAACAAACTCGGGAGTGGGATCTGTCAACTTCGTAGCCGAGGAGTCTGCCTTCGACGTGGAGCCAAGGGTGAGCCCCAGGAAATCAGTGGCCGATGGAGTGTGGACAAGAATGGACTCTCGCTTGGACCCGAATCCACTGGCAACGGATGGGAAGTGCTTCACACTCGGCTTGGGTGAAAGATCCTTGTCGGGAGACAAAGCGGGCTCCTCCAAAGCGGATTCTCGGTGCGGATCCAAAGGCAGGACCGAGTCTGGGAAGGATTCCGAGGCAGGGACCGCGGCCGTGATCTCGATCCCGACCGGGGATGGAACTGGAGTTGGGGCCGGGGCCGGGGCCGGGGCAGGAGGCGGGGTCCAGATTGGAGTAGGCATCCGGGCCGGAATAGGAGTCCGGACCCGGGTCGGCATCTGTGCAGGAGTCGGGGTCCGGATCCGGGTCGGAGTCCGGGTCCAGACCGGGGTTGGGGTCTGGACGGGAGTGGGGATCCAGGCCGAGGCCGGGGTCTGGACGGGAGTGAGGCTCCGGGCGGAGGTCGGGGTCGGAATGGGTGTCGGGGTTCGGGCCGGGGTCAGCATCTGGACTGGATTCGGGGTCCGGGCCAGTGTCTGGCTAGGATTCGGGGTCCAGGCCAAGGCCTGGGTCTGGACGGGAGTCGGGGTCCGGATGGGAGTCGGGGTCCGGGCCAGGGTCAGGACGGGAGCCGGGGTTCGGGCCAGGGTCTGGACGGGAGTGCGGGTCCAGGCCGAGGCCGGGGTCTGAACGGGAGTGGGGGTCCGAGCTGAGGCCCGGGTCTGGCCAGGAGTCGGGGTCCGGGCAGAGGTCAGAGTCTGGATGCGAGTCGGGGTCCGGACCAGGGTCGGGACGGGAGCCAGGGTTCGGGCCGGGGTCTGGACGGGAGCCGGCGTCCAGGCCGAGGCCAGGATCTGGACCGGAGTGGGGGTCCAGGCCGAGCCCGGGGCCTGGACGGGAGTCGGGGTCCAGGCCCGGGTGGGGACGGGAGTCAGGTTCCGAGCGGGGGTCAGGATCTGGATGGGTTTTGGGGTCCGGGCTGAAGTCGAGGTCCTGACTGGGGTCGAAGCCCGGACCGAGGTCGACATCTGGGCCGGGGAAGGGGTTGGGGCCCTAGCCTGGTTGTTCATGGTGGGCGCAGGGGGCCCCCCCGGGGTAACGGGGGGTGGGAGGGGTAGGGGGGTGGGGGGGATCCCGCCGGGGGGATCCCGCCCCGTCCTCCTTCCTTCAGCGGGGAGAGCCTCACTCACACCAGGGTTCTAAAATGGGAGACGACCACAAGGGGGCACTGTGACATCGTGTTCCACCCGGTGCGCAGGTTCTATTGCTCCGGGCCAGGGGACCAGGCGGCAGGGACCTCTAGATCTCACCTAAAAATTCCCATCCCTAAACCCCACCTCCAGGGTAAGGAACACAGAGATTGCTCCAGTGTTCTCCTCACTGTCACTAAACATTCATCCGTTCAGTATATATTTCTTGAATACCTGCTGTGTGCATATTCCTGGGCTGATTGACTCCGAGGTCAGAGCCCTAATCAGGAAAGCCCTGGTCCAGGGGCGCGTGGGTGGCTCAGTCGTTAAGCATCTGCCTTGGCTCAGGTCATTGTCCCAGGGTCCTGGGATCGAGCCCCGCATCGGGCTCCCTGCTTGGCGGGAAGCCTGCTTCTCCCTCTCCCACTCCCCCTGCTTGTGTTCCCTCTCTTGCTGTGTCTCTCTCTGAAATAAATAAAATCTTAAAAAAAAAAAAAAAGGAAAGCCCTGGTCCAGCAATCAGGTTCCCTGTCCAATGCGGGAAACATACCCATCACCAAATGACAACGGCCAGGTGGCTGGGCCCGGAGTAGGGGAGGCACAGGCAGAGGGGTGAAAAAGATGGTGAAGGAGGCCCAGGAATCTGCAGGATCCCCAAAGGTGCTAGAACCAGCCTGGGGCAGAGAGGGCTCTCTGAAGAGGGTAACTGGGCAATCTGGAGAAAAAGAAACATAAAAGGAAAAATTACAAAGTTTACAATTATACAGTGCTAAGTGCTACCCATGTAACCACAGCTAGTAAGTGACACAGCCAGGATTCATTTTATTTATTTGAGGGGTGCCTGGGTGGCTGTCGTTAAGCGTCTGCCTTCGGCTCAGGTCATGAACCCAGGGTCCTGGGATCGAGCCCCGCATCAGGCTCCCTGCTCGGCGGGAAGCCTGCTTCTCCCTCTCCCTCTCCTCCTGCTTGTGTTCCTTCTCTCGCTGTGTCTCTCTCTGTCAAATAAATAAATAAAATCTTTAAAAATAAATTAAAAATCTTTAAAAAACTAAATCAGTTAAAAAAACTAAATCAGTTTAAAAAAAAAAAAAGGATTTCATTTATTTGACAGAGAGCACAAGCAGGGGGAGTGGCAGGCAGAAAGAGAGAGAAGCAGGCTTCCGCTGAGCAAGGAGCCCAACATGTGGTTTGATCCCAGGACCCTGGGATCATGACCTGAGCCGAAGGCAGATGCTTAACTGACTGAGCCACCCAGGGGTCCCCATAGCAGGAATTCAAATGGAAACTGTCAGGCTCGGGCGTCCTGGCACTTAACCACTCCTGTCTTGTTCACTGCTGAATGCCCAACTCCTAGAAGGAGGCCTGGCATGTTCACGGGAGGTTCACAGGAGGTGCTTCCTAAATATTTGTCTTTTTATTTTGAAACAGTGTAACACTCACAAGAAATTAGAAAAATAGTACAGAGCATCCTGTATCATTTCCACCCAGCTTTCCCCAATGGGAACTTAAGATGTAACCACAGTACATTGTCAAAACCAGGACTGTGACATTGGTCCAATACCAGTAGGTCAGGTATAGACCTTATTTTGAATCATGAAAGGGTTTTATTTTAAGATTTATTTCTTAGAGCATGAGCTGGGGGAGGGACAGTGGGAGAGGGAGAAGCAGACTCCCTGCTGAGTGGGGAGCATAATATGGGGCTCCATTCCAGGATCCTGAGATCATGACCTGAGCCTAAGGGTGACGCTTAACTGACTGCGATGCCCTGGGGCCCCATGGGAGGGTTTTAAAAGGAGACGAGTTAGGAGCACCTGGGTGGTTCAGTCGGTTGAGTGGCCAACTCTTGATTTTGGCTTGGGTCATGACCTTGGGGTCCTGGGATAGAGCCCCAGATTGGGCTCCTTGGCGGGGAGTCTCCTTAGGATTCTCCCTCTCCCTCTGCCCCTCCCCCACCCACTCATGTGCACTCTTACTCTCTCTGTCCAATAAATCAATCTTAAAAAGGGGGGGGGAAGAAAGTTATGACCTACTGTACTTTGCACGCACTGAGCCCTCCTTGTGTTAAACCTTGGGCCTGGGTCTCAAAAGCTATGAAGATCATGAGAGACACCAAATTTTCTGTGTGATGCTAAGCAAGTTTCTACCCCTCTCTGGGCTTCAGTTCGCCTGTGAAATGGGCTTTCCTCTTATAGTGTCATATTGAGAACTAATGCTCACTGAGCATCTGTTATCTGCCAGACTCTGATATTAAATGCTTTGTGCATATTTAAAACATTTCTTGGGCGCCTGAGTGGCTCAGTTGGTTAAGCGTCTGCCTTCGGCTCAGGTCATGATCTCAGGGTCCTGGGATCGGCCCCGCATCGGGCTCCCTGCTCAGCCGGGGGGCTGCTTCTCCCTCTCCCTCTCCCTCTGCACTCTCTCTTTAATAAATAAAATCTTTATTTTTTTTTAAGATTTTATTTATTTATTTGACAGAGACAGACACAGCGAGAGAGGGAACACTGCAGGGCAAGTGGGAGAGGGAGAAGCAGGCCTCCCATGGAGCAGGGAGCCCGATGCGGGGCTCGATCCCAGGACCCTGGGTTCACGACCTGAGCCGAAGGCAGACGCTTAACGACTGAGCCACCCAGGCGCCCCAATAAATAAAATCTTTAAAAAAATAAATAAAACATTTCTCCGAGGCTCTGTTCATTTTCTGTCTCTTTCTCTCTCTAGTTGGGATTGCAGGATCTCTTTCAATCTATCTTCAAGCTTGAGAATGCTTTCTTCTCTGACAGTTCAAATCTACTATTGAGCCCCTCCAGAGAATTTTTCATTGTAGATACTGTATGTTTCAACTCCAGAACTTCCATCAGATTTTTTTTTTAAGATTTTATTTATTTATTTGACAGAGAGACACAGTGAGAGAGGGAACACAAGCAGGGGGAGTGGGAGAGGGAGAAGCAGGCTTCCCGCCGAGCAGGGAGCCCAATGCGGGACTCGATCCCAGGACCCTGGGATCATGACCTGAGCCGAAGGCAGACGCTTAACGACTGAGCCACCCAGGCGCCCCCAGATTCTTTTTAAAATAACATCCGCCCCTCTATTGATGTTCTCTACTTGGTGCAACGTCGTTATTCCCTGCACTTCTTTACTCACCAGTTGCCTGCCCCTCTCCAAACCTGTTTGCAATGGCTACTTTGGTTTTTGTTTTGTTTTGTTTTAAAGGCTCCACGCCCAGTGTGGAGCCCAACCCGGGACTTGAACTCACCACCCAGAGATCAAGAGTTGGATGCTCAACTGACTGAGCCACCCAGGCGCCCCTGCGAAGCCTACTTTGAAGGCTTTGTCTGTTCATCCCAACCTTCGTCTCTGGTCCCTCTCCCTGGCGGTTTCTGTCTCCTCCCACCCCCTCCAGTATACAAGTCTTATTTTCATTTCTTCACCTAACTCATATTTTTTTGTTGGCAACTGGACATTTCAGATAGCGCACTGTGGCAACTCCGGGTGCTGGTCCCCGCCCTGGGGTTTATGTCTGTTTAGCGACTGGTTAGATGATTTGTTCAGTCTATTCCTCTGCTTCCTCCTGCAAGTGCAGAGCCAGGGAAGGGAGCATGGAGAGCCTTAGATATGCCCAGTCATCCTGGGCTGGTGGGTTTGGGCAGGTTCTCCGGGTCTTTCCCTGACCATGCTGGGCAGGGGGGCTCCACCCATCATCAGCTGCTTGCTCTATTGTTCTCGTTTTCAACACTTCAGGGGGCATAAACTTTTTCAGAGACTGATCCAATCAAATTAGGGATCCTTGGAAGGGTTACTCCCCAAGTCCCCCAAATCAGTTTGAGATTAGTTCTGACCCAAGAAGGGTTCTCACCAGCTGTCTCTTTCCCTGGCTCTCCGGCAAACTAGCCAGAGTCTGTCAATCTCCTTCCATCTGCCTTACGTACACCACGACCTCCGCGGTTTCTGAGGCACGGTTAGCCTTGAACTTCTCACTCTGTCCCGAAGAGAGTCAGGTCCTTTGAGGAAAGATTTGGAGCTCTCTGCTCTGCAGCCTGCTTCTCCCACAGACAAAATCTCTGAGCCATGGTCAGCTTCACTCAGAGGGAGCCCACTTTCGGAGCTGCGTCCTCAGTGGGGTGAGGCGGCAGGCCCCCCATCTTCTAGCTTGTCCTCTTGATGTGAAACTCCTGCCCCAGGAGCCAGGGAGGGGCAACCGGGGCCCCAGTATTCTCAACAGCTCCACAAGTATGGGCTGGGCTGAGGAAGGGAGACCCCCCTCTCGGCTGTGCTCTCCCAGAACTTGGCCTCAGCAACAAGTAGCTGGGAGCAGGATGAGAAAGGCTGACACTCTACCCCTCCCCAGAGGCTCGCCCTCCAACTGGGAGTTGGGGGTGGGGAGGGAGCCCAGTCAGAAATGGAGGGACCGGGGGGTCTTGGTTCACCCATCATTGGTTCTCCCTGTTCTCACCAAATTTTTAGATTTTATTTGTTAATTTGCTGCGTGCCCTCCAGATCATCCCCAGAAGCTTCAAATGGTTGGGCTGCCATTCTGTTTTTTTAAGATTTTATTTATTTGACAGAGAGAGAGAGAGCAAACACAAGCAGGGGGAGCACAGGGAGAGGGAGAAGCAGGGTCCCCAATGAGCAGGGAGCCCGATGCGGGGCTCGATCCCAGGACCCTGGGATCATGACCTAAGCCGTAGGCAGACGCTTAACCAACCAACTGAGCCACCCAGGCGCCGCTGTCATTTTGTTTTTATAATTTGCAACAACAGTTTGTGGGCAGGCAGGTCTGCCAAGCTCCTCATTTGGTCATGCCAGAAGTGGAACTCCATACAGTCCATTTTTAAAACACAAACCGTAGCACCCTGTTCGTTCTTTTGTACCTTGTATTTTTCCCCCTTGGACAAAATATATCAAAGAAATTTCATATGAGGGGTGCCTGGGTGGCTCAGTTGGTTAAACGGCTGCTTTCGGCTCAGGTCATGATCCCAGGGTCCTGGGATCGAGACGCACGTCAGCTCCCTGCTCCGCGGGGAGTCTGCTTCTCCCTCTCCCTCTGCCTGCCTCCCTGCCAACTTATGCTATCTCTCTGTCAAATAAATAAAATCTTTTAAAAAAAAATTTCATACGAGCACATCTATATCTCTGTATCTCGTCATTTTAACAGTTGTGTAATATCTTATTTATAAATGGCCCCTAATTAAGGTAACCAGTTCCCTCTCATCATTTAGATTGTTTACAGCCTTTGGCTATTGCCAACAACCCCTGAACTACAGACACCTTTGTGCACAAGTCAAAGTGTAAGTGTAGGGTAAAGTCCTAGACACAAAACCATCCAATTTAAGGGAATGTGAATTTTTTCACTTTGGAAATTATAGTAAATGACTCCTTAGATGTTTTATTTTGTGTGATACCTTAAAAACATTAGGGTGTTGCAACACAGCTCATTTTGGTTTTTAGAAACAAGGAAGCACAACACAGGTCCACAAAAATCCGACAAGCTCTTTAGCACGAAGGCATCGTGCAGGGCAACTGCATCGCAAACCCCACACTCGCTTGCTGTCTTTGCAGCAGTTACTTCAAACTCTCTGAACCTCAACTTTCTCTTCTGTCAAATGGATCCTTTCCACTCTCATTGGTTCTGTTGTGCTAAAAAGAAAACACAGCTTGTGGGCGCCTGGCTGGCTCAGTAGGTGGAGCAGGTGACTCTTGATCTCGGGGTTCTGAGTTCGAGCCCCATGTTGGGTAGAGATTACTTAAAATCTTTTAAAAAATTAAAAAAAAGCTCTTTCCCTGCCGCCGCCGAGTCGCGCGGAGGCGGAAGGTCAGGTGCAGTCAAGATTCAGCTACACTCGTAATCCACCGCCATGGCCGAGGAAGGCATTGCTGCTGGAGGTGTAATGGACGTTAATACTGCTTTACAAGAGGTGCTGAAGACCGCCCTCATCCACAATGGCCTAGCACGTGGAATTCGCGAAGCTGCCAAAGCCTTAGACAAGCGCCAGGCCCATCTTTGTGTGCTTGCATCCAACTGTGATGAGCCTTTGTATGTCAAGTTGGTGGAGGCCCTTTGTGCTGAACACCAAATCAACCCAATCAAGGTTGATGACAACAAGAAACTAGGGGAATGGGTAGGCCTCTGTAAAACTGACAGAGAGGGAAAACCCCGTAAAGCGGTTGGTTGCAGCTGTGTGGTGGTTAAGGACTATGGCAAAGAGTCTCAGGCGAAGGATGTCATCGAGGAATACTTCAAGTGCAAGAAATGAATAAACTTGGTTCTTGGTTGTTCAAAAAAAAAAAATCTTAAAGAAAAAAGAAAAGCACAGGCTCAAAATGGCGTCACTTAGGCTAAGTCACCAAACTGGGGCTTAATACCTAACCTAACTGCAGTTTCAGCTTCACCTGAAAATATGTCTTAACAGGCCAGTCAGGAGTTCTCTGGTGAGCACCAATAAGGTAATCCGTAACATGGACCCTCTCCACCCCCAAAAGGAAGATGAGGTAAGTTCCCGGTAAGACTCCCTACCCTGGGATACCTAGGTGGCTCATTCGGTTAGGCATCTGCCTTAGGCTCAAGTTATGGGATCGAGCCCCACATCGGGCTCCTTGTTCAGCGGGGAGCCTGCAGTTCCCCCCTGCTTGTGCGCACTGACAAATAAATAAAATCTTAAAAAAAAAAAAGACTCCCCGGGCACTTGGGTGGCTCAGTCGTTAAGCGTCTGCCTTTGGCTCGGGTCATGATCCCAGGATCGAGCCCCGCATCGGGCTCCCTGCTCCACGGGAAGCCTGTTTCTCCCTCTCCCACTCCCCCTGCTTGTGTTCCCTCTGTCGCTGTGTCTCCGTCAAATAAATAAATAAAATCTTAAAAAAAAAAAAAAAGACTCCCTGCGCTTCCCCTAGTGGGGGGTGACCGTGGCCCCACCCTCCTTCCCATAAAAACCTTCCGTTTTGTACAACTCCTCCGAGCTCCCCTCTACTCCCCAGACACGACGCTGCCCAATTCATGAATCGCTTAATAAAGCCAATTAACTCTTCAAATTTATTGAGTTTGTGTTCTGTAACAGTTGGTTTGCCGGCCCGCTACGATACTCAGGTCTAGTAACAAACCCGGATTTAGGGTAGAGGGTAGGACACTGCTTTACCCATGCACTCCACTTGATTTGTACCGGCTGACTGACCTTACTTCCCGCCACACACGAGACAAATAGCCGAGACTAGCCAATCAGAATAAGCCATTCAGCCTGGCCCCTCCTCCAGGCAAGGCCATGTGACAAGCTGGAGCCAATGAAAGCTCCGCTTATAAATGAAGTCATTCCCAGACACAACTGGATGAAAACATACTGGCACACTGACAACATTCGGGCACCTGGTCCCCGAATCCAACCCTGCTGAAGGTACACCTACCACAAGATGTCTCATTTTATGAACTAATAAATTCTTCTTATTTAAGCCACTTTGAGTTGTTTCTGATCCCTCCAACAGAGTCCTATTATTCTTCTCAGGGGACAATAACTCTCCCCTCAGTCCCAACACTAAGTACAAAGCACTTAGCCCACTGAGTCAAAGCTGATCACAATGAGAGCCTTTTTATAGAGGTCTCTGGAGAGATGGGGGGAAGGGGATAAGATTTAAATAACCATTATGTACAACTCCCAAAGGCAAAATCCTTGCAGCGCCCCCCTCCAGCTCCAAAGTGTCTGAGGCAGAGATTGGACACCACCAAGTAAATACAAAAATATCCAGGTTCTGTCTCCAGGCGCTGATGGAACAGGGACAGGTCAGGCCTAGAAATGAAATGAGTAGGAGGCATTAGAAAGGGCTGCCCCTCGGCCTCCTCTCCCTCTCCCCAGTGAGTGGGAAACAGAGAAGCTCTGGCTGGGGCTCCCCATCGTGACCTCTTGAAGGTCATATGATCTTCCAAAGAGAAGATGGCCCATAGCTCCAAACGACAGCAAGAGGACTGCAGGACAGAACTAAATTAAGCCACAAGTGAAAAGTGGCTTAAGGACCTCCCAGAGACCCTACCTCCCTCATTTTACAGATAGAGTAAAAGAGGGCTACAGGAAATGCAGGGGCTGCCTCCGCCCAGCGTGCCCAATGTGTGCAGAGCAGGTACAGGGGGGTAGCTACCTCCCGGGCATAGATGGAAGGAGCAGATATGACGTAAATCGCACGAGAGTCTCCATCTTCAGGGTGATTCCAATCCGCTGGCTGGCTGCAGGAGGAAAAGAAGATCCAGACCCTTCCAATTCTCCGATCTTGTTTTCCCCACCCACCATGGAGAGAACCCAAAGCCAACTAGGGGAACTGCGGAACGACCCAATCAGAAAAGGCTGGGAGCAGGTAAGAGGAAGGGACCAATCGAGGTCTATCAGGGAATCAGGCCAATTGCACTATGCAGATTGACGAAAGCTGCCAGGAGAGACGAGACGAGAGAGAGAGCGGCCCCTTACCTGAGCCCATCCTCCGAACCCTCCTGCGCTCTCCTGTTGTTGAGTGCATCAGGAAGCGCGTGCACCGATGGCTCCGGGGTCCCTGCCAGCAGGCGAGACCCAGTATCCTGGCCAGGGCCACGGCGCCGCACGTGGACCAGCAAGAGCGCAACGCCAGCCAAGGCGGCCGCCACCAGCAGTCCCAAAGCCGGAGGCAAAAGGAAGCGCTGCGGGTCCCCCTGCCTCAGGCCCGGCAGCCCCGCGGGCAACGCACCTGCGCTGTCGTCCGCGCCGTCGGGGTGAACCCGGAACTCGCAGCGCGGGCCCATGTAGCCGGGCGCGCAGGCGCAGACGAGGCCGGAGAAGTGGGCGTAGCAGCGGCCGCCGTGGGCGCAGGGGCGCGCGGCGCACGGGTCGGCGCGCTCGCGGCAGTCGCGGCCGCCGAAGCCCAGCGCGCAGGAGCAGCGGCGCGCGCCGCCGCCCTCCAGGCACGTGCCGCCGTTGGCGCAGGCGCGGCCGGCGCAGTCATCCAGGTCGTGCTCGCAGCGCGGCCCCGCGAAGCCGGCGCGGCAGCGGCAGCGCAGGGCGTGGCCCAGGTCCAGGCAGAGCCCGCCTGTGGGGAAGGGGCGTCAGGGGCATCAGGGGCGCGGCCCGGACGGGAATCCTTGAGCTGTCCGCGCGCCCGCTCCTCCGCTCTGTAATCCTGCCCGCCCTTTCCTCTGAGTCCCCGCTGTCTCCATCTAGCTCTAGGGCCAGCCTCTGAGAGTTGGCCTGGAAAGCAGGCCCGCTTCTTTTCCTGTCCAGTGAAGTCTTGGTTTGAGTCAGCCTCACCTCTTGGGCGCTCTGTTTCTCCTTTTTCTCTCGGCTTCAACCATATGCAAATAGTTAGTAGTCCCAGAACATGTTGAACCAGCTGGCCTTTGCCCATGCCTTCTGCCTGGGATGCCCCTTACCTTTTCCCTTCCTCCTTTCCTCCCATTCTTTTCAACTTGTCTCCCCCCGAGCTCAGCCTTCAGGTCTCTGTTCAGATGTCCCCTCCTCCAGGAAGCCTTCCCTGACACTCTCCATCCCAACCCTGCGCTCCCCCATCACAACCCTGACAACTCTGGGCTCCGAGGACACGTGTGTCTTCCCGCCTGGGCTGGTACCCCCTTGAGGATGGGGCCCACCCAGAGCTGTCCTAGTCACTGCTGTGTCCCTAGTACCACTCAGCCCAGAGTGAACACTCAGTGTTCTGGAGAGAATTAGTACTATAAGAATGCTCATGGGCACCTGGGTGGCTCAGTAGGTTAAGCGTCTGCCTTCAGCTCAGGTCCTGATCCCAGAGTCGTGGGATCAAGCCCCGCATCGGGCTCCCTGCTCAGTGGGGAGCCTGCTTCTCCCTCTCCCTCTACCCCCTACTCGCGCTTGCTCTCTCTCTCAAAGAAATAAATGAAATCTTGAAAAAAAAAAATGTGCTGAGCCCTTTACATTCATGATCTCATTTAACCTTGTAACACCTATAATAGATCAGATCTCTCCACTGCTCGGAACACTCCTGTGGCTCCATCTCCCTCATGGTAAAATCAAAATCCTCCTCATGGCCCATGAAGGCCCCCTCGATCTGTCTCGGTCACCTCCCTGACCTCATCTCTCCCCACTCTCCCTGCGCTCACTCTCTCACTCTGCTCCTTCCACACCTGCTTCCCTGTGATCCTCAACAAGCCAAGCACATTCTGACCTCAGGGTCTTTGTACTTGCTATTCCTCCTCCCTGAAACATAACTCTTCCCTCTAGATCCCCCTATGGCTCCCTCCTTCACTATGCTTCAGCAAGGTTTTCGCTAACCACTTTGGCTAAAATGTCAACCCTCCACTCCATACACACTCCCCATCCCCCTCTGGCTTTTTCTTCTTGTTTTTTTTTTTTTTTAAGATTTATTTATTTATTTGAGAGAGGGCATGTGAGCAGGGAGAGGAGCAGAGGGAGAGGGAAAAGCAGACGGGCTTGACGCAGGGCTTGATCTCATGACCCTGAGATCATGATCTGAGCCCAAACCAAGAGTCCTCCGCTCAACCAACTGAGCCACCCAGGTGCGTCTTTTCTTCTAGTTTTTATCACCATCTAACTTCCCCTATAATTTACTTATTTATCTTGTTTATTGTCTGCTCACTCAGCTCTATGAGGACAGGTCTTCTCCCTCTCTCTCTGCCTCTCCCACTGCCCCTGCTTGTGTTCTCTCTCTCTCAAATAAATAAATAAATAAAATCTTAGGAGCACCTGGGTGGCTCAGTCCGTTAAGCAGCTGCCTTCGGCTCAGGTCATGATCCCAGGGACCTGGGATCGAGCCCCGCATCGGGCTCCTTGCTCAGCAAAGAGCCTGTTTCTCCCTCTCCCTCTCTCTCTGCCTGCCTGCCACTCCCCCTGTTTGTGCTCTCTCTCTATCTCTGTCAAATAAATAAATAAAATCTTAAAAAAATAAAAAATAAAAGAAATAAAATCTTAAAAAAAGAACAACAAAAACAGGCTGGGCAGAGGGGGAGGGTCACTTCCCCGGGCCAGAGGGTAGAGAAAGCTCAGCCAGGATTCCCACCCAGGGCTGTCTCAGCCAAGCCCCGCTTTTGCCACTGACCACTTAGGCACCCCCCTCCCCTGTCCCTCACCACCTGGCCTCCCCACCTCACCATTCCGGCATGGTTTCAGGCTGCACCGGTCTACTCTCTTCTCACAGTTGGAGCCTTGGAACCCAGGCGGGCAGTGGCAGATGTAGGCAGAGTCAGGGTCCGCGCCTCCCACACATAAGCCGCCATTGAAGCAGGGTCCATCCGCACATGTCACCCCGCTCACCTCGCACCGCAGTCCGTAGAACCCGCGGGGACAGGCGCATTCGAAGGATCCCGGGGTCTCCTGGGCAGCCGCAAGAGGACTTCAGAACAGGGTCTCCTGGGAGCAAAATCCTCCCCGCCTCCTATCTTGACCATGGAGGGCTGCACCTTGTCCAGTCCTACCTCCCAGTCTTCAGGGGCCGCACCTGGGGAGTCCCCTGGAACAAGGCCTCGCTGCACTCCACATTTCTGGCTCTGCCCAGCCAACCCTGTAGAGGGGAAGCTCTGGAGGTCCAGAGCAATCCCATTCCCACCTCTTCACCTTTGCCTACGAATGCTGCCAGCTGGGTCTGCCCTCCCCGCTTCCGTCCGCATAGCCGAATCCTACCTCGGGGTCCCAGCCTTAAGCCCACCTCCTCCATGAAGCCTTCTCTGGATCTCCCCTTCTCAGGCCCTCCCCCTAATCTGACCCTGACTGTTTCTCACTGTCCCTTGGTGGCAGTGTCCAGGTGGCCCACGCTGGGCTCCACTTTATCCCAGTACACACACCAGGCTCATTCCCACTGCCCCACTTTTGCTGACCCCAGGCTGCTCACCTGGTTACTACGGGCTCTTCCCAACCCCATTCATTCCCCAATCCTTCAAGGCCCCAGATGAAGACTGGGCACCTCCAGGAAGCCCTCCCCAGGATGAGGTAGAAGGGGCTGATACTGACGTTACAGCTGCCCCCGTTGGCACACGGGTTCCCGTCACAGGGCCCAGGCCTGGGTACAAGGCATCCAGGGGTGGCAGCCGATGGGCCCCTGGCAGTGAGGCAGCTGCTGGCGACAGGGATGGTGCAGAGGGGCCCAGTCCAGCCCTCCAGGCATCGACATTCATTGGGCTGCTCACAGAAGCCGTGGTCGGGACTGCAGCCCTCTCGACACGCCGCTATGGGGAAAGGAGAGGCAAGGGGAGAGTAACGTTGACGAAGGCAGGGTCAGGAGGATAGGAAACAGAGAAGTTTCTGAGCGCTACCTTGTTTCATCCTTGTGACAGACAACCCTCTGGGCTAGAGGGTATTGTGACCCCCCCAGTTTCCAGACAGGGAAACTGAGGCCCAGAGAGGCACATAGGAAGTGGCAGGTGGAGGATGTGAACCCAGGCCACTGAGCTCCAGACTCTGTGCTCTTAGGAGACTGGAGTGGGGCCTGCACGGTCTGAGCTTGGAGAGAGCAGAGTGAGAGAAGGGGATTGGGGCTTGGGGAGGGGCCCCTGGTCTTTCAGGGGAAATAGGGGGTCTTGAATTAGGGCAGGCCTGGGAGAATCCGGATAAGCCCGGGAGTCCTAGGGGCTTCAGTGGGATTCAGAAGTTTGGGGAGGAGTCTGAGGGTCCCCATAACAGAGGTCGGGGATCCAAGCTTTAGATCTGGCCTGCAATTGCAGGAAGGGAGGATAAAGTATCCCTTGGTGAGGGGGTTGAGGGAAACTGCGAGGGGTTTCCACAGCTCCTGGGTGGGGGTAGGAAGGGCCCCAGCATTAGAAGAGTTAGAAGGTCCTAGCATTTGGAAAGGGGTGTGCGCATGCGTTAGAGGACGAAGCGGGGGGGGGGGGGGGGGGGGGGGGGAGATAGTACCAGCATGGGATATTGGTGTGAGGTTCCTATTAAGGAAGAGAAAGGGAAGGGGGCTGGAGTGCCTAGAAGTCTGGAGGGAAGCCCAGGGTCCTCAGTTTCCCCGAGGGTGGTAGCTGGATCGTGGGAGGGGGCTGAGGACCACGAGTGGGGCTAGAGCGGGGCCTGGGGTACTTGGCCAGCGGTCAGCAGCATTCCCTCGTTTCCTGGAGAGGGGTGTCTGCGGCACCCAGGCAGAGCTCTCGGGTCCCCAGTTCCCTGAGGAGGTTAACCGGGTTTTGAAAGGGGCCTGGGGGCCGTAAGTGCAGCTAAGTAAGGAACGGTCGGGGATGGGGTGGGGTGGAACGCAGGACTCACGCGTGGCCTCGCACTTGTCCTCGACCGGCGCGCAGGGGCGCAGTCCCGAGCCGCACCGCGAGGGGGCGCTGAGCGAGCTGCAGAAGCGCGCGCATGCGGCCCCGACGGCGGGAGGCTCGCAGCGCGCGCGGTAGGAGAAGCGCAGTTCCCAGGCGCCTGCGCGCTGCACATCCCGGGCCCACGGGCTCCCCGCAGCCAGGCGGCGCCGACCGGCCACGCGCGCCAGCAGGCTCCAGGCGGGTCCTGCGGGGACAAGGGAGCGGCGCTGGGGTGGGCCGGGCCGGGCGATACAGATGGAGCTTGCACTCTCCCTGCCGCTCTCAGCGAGGGCAAAACACCCCTTTTCGAGCCCTGAGAATGGCAGTTACCCCCTTAGCCAGGCTGTGAACTCCCATAATGATGTCGCCATCCCATGAGTACCCTATGACCATCGCGATGATAACAGTCCTCCCACAGAAGCCGCAATACCCCCAGATCTTGCCCCAGAATCTTTGTATATTAAAGCAGTAATGAGCCCTCTAACACCCTGTGCCATTTGATATCGCTATATGGCCAAGGCGCAACACAGGCCTTTTTGAAGTGAGGTCATAACACCCCGAAACTGTGCCTCAGGATCTTCCTATTTCAAAATGGTGACAGAGACCCCAATTACTAGACCATAAATTACCCTCATTGCCTGAAGCCTCGGGATACAGACAGAGTGGCATTTTCTCCCCAGCAAAGCTGTCACACCCCTACATTGTGCCACAGGAGTTTTCTCTATCTAAATAGTGACAGACACCCCCCCCAACACACACACACTGTAGGCCTTACATGGCTCCAAAATCCCCTCAAATTAAGAATAAAATCACCCCGGGGACCCCTGGGTGGCTCAGTCGCTAAGCGTCTGCCTTCGGCTCAGGTCATGATTCTGGGGTCCTGGGATCGAGTTCCGCCATCGGGCTCCCTGCTCTGCGGGAAACCTGCTTCTCCCTCTCTCTCTGCCTCTCCCTCTACTCATGCTCTATCTCTGTGTATCAAATGAATAAATAAAATCTTTTTTTTTTAAAAGAAGAAAGTCACCGCATCTCCCTCCCTGAAACCTTTGCTCACTATTCACTCTGGTGAACATGCGACGGCCCGTAGGGCTTCTGGGACCCCTATGTGAACTTTGAATAGAAGAACCAGAAGTAACTCATTCTGTACCCCGGCTTACCAAACTCTGATGGTGAGAGTGCAGAACTGTGAGATGCTATATCCTCCTGCTCTGGTGGCTTCGATTCCAAGATAGTAAGAGTGTACTTTGCCTGGTATCAGGCCACAGACTCCTACGTCCAGTCCCAGGACAATCCTACACCGACCTGCCAAGAGCCCTGGGACTACCAACACCCAGCACTGCACTCCAGGAGCTGTGAGGACATCGCAGGCGGGGGATCCCGTGAATGCTCCACCCTATAGACAGCCCCACGTCACTATCCTGCATCTTCCATGGGGCCCCAGCTCCCTGGAGCCTCCATACTCTGCACTTTAGTCTGATGGCTGAAGACACTCACCTCCAATCTGTTCTAACTCCTCTCTCCAGGTTTCGATGATGAGGGAAAAGGTGCCCTGGTTGGGTGGAGGAAGGAGAGGAAAGAATGGAAGACAGTGGTCAGGGTGGGTACTCGGTGAAGGCCAGACTTGGAGGGGGGAGGTCATTCCAGGGACCAGGCAGACAAGGGACAATTCCCAGAGGGGCTGGCCCAGGGAAGGAATGACAGTTTGGGCCTCCTTTATTGAGCACTTCCTATGGGTAATACACACTAGACTGGAGATACCTGGTTGAATCCCTCAAGAGGGACCCTTGTGAGGTACCATGATGATCCCATTTTACAGATGGGGAAACTGAGGCTGGACCAGGGAAAGCCACTTTGCCCAAAAGGACAGGGGTCTAGAATTCAAGTACAGGTCTGTTCACCTGTGCTTTTGGGGTTGTGGGATAGGAGATAGGATTTTGGAGGTAAAAGTCATGAATATGGGCCCCAACTGGAAGATCTGAGTAGGGATAAGGTGAGAGGAGATTGGGGAGACAGGGTGTGGGAAGGTCCCTAAGTGCAGGGAGATCTGAAGATAAAGATAAGGATTCCAGTGTTTAGGGATCCCCCCCCAAGGAACAGAGGTAGGGTTCTGTGAATTTAGGATTTACAGAAAGTGAGTTTGAGGTTCTGGGAACTTGGGGTCCCAAGCATGCAGGGTGGGCGTCAGAATATTTGGGATCCCTAAAGGGGAAGTGGGATTCAGAAAGTTGGGTTACACTGTGGGTAGCCCACAGGGTCTAAGAATGTGGGATTCTAGATGATAGTTACTGGTCTGGGAATTTGGGGTCCCCAGAGGGAAAGGTTGGGGTCTTGGAAGTTGGAGGGCAGAAGGCCGTAGAGGTTTGGGTAAGGCCTCCAAGCACGGGGTTCTCACCGGCCAGGCTTCCCGGAAGGGCACGCGCATGAAGCCGTCGGGCAGAGGCAGGTCAGGCGCGGGCGCTTCGGGCTGCTGGGTGTAGACGGGTCCGCGCGCACTCAGCGCCGCGCCCAGGGCGCACGGAGACTCGGCGGCCTCCTCGGAGACCCCCGGCTTCAGGCAGACCCTAAAGAAGAGGCGGCACGGGCCCTGCGCACTGCAGGGGGACCGCGGGGCCCCCGGGCCTGGTCCCGGCCTGAAAGAGTGGATCTGCAGCTCGAAGACGCCTGCCGGCCGTGCCTGGGGCCGGAAAGGGGCGCAGGGTGAGAAGGCGTCGGGGCCCAGGCGTCCCGTCCGCCCCGCGGCCCCTCCCCAAGACCCCGGGGTCGCTCCCTTCCCATTCCTCCCTTTCCACACCTGCTCTGACCTGGGGAAGGAAAATAAGCGCCAGGATCACCGTCCGGGGCAGGAGCTGGGGCATCTGCAGGCTGACCATGGCCTTTTGGGGGGGGGGGTGCTGGGAGCCGCAGCTGCTAGCTCCCGAGACTTATATCGGAGGGGACGGCTCCGCCCCTTCAGGCAGCCGCCCGGCTCCGGGAGACCCCAGGGGAGGAGGTCGCAGGGAAAGGGGAGCTTGCTGGAGCAACCGTGAATTGTGGTATGGGCACCGGCAATGTAGTGAGCGTGCGATCTTGTGTGTGGTTTCGGCACGACTTTGTGTGTGAGAATGGAATGGGGCTAGGGGGTTAAGCCAGTGTGTGAGGTTATGTATGATTTTAAGATTCTGTGCATGCGTGTGGTGTGAGCAAGAGCTACTGGCTGGAGGCTGTACGTGACTTTGTGATTGTGTGCCTAGCTGAGACTACGTGGCTCCACGTGTGCCTAAAGTTGTATATGGTTAAGACTATTGCAAGGTTGTAAGATTCTGTGGTTGTGTGTGTGTGCGTGTACGCGTGTGCACCTGCATGGGAGAATATAGGCGTACGTGACTTCATGATTGTGTGACTTTGGGGGATTGTGCGGCTGTTGTGGATGCTTCTCTGTGCGTGTATAGGAGTAAATGTGAGATCCTGAACCACTGTGTGGAGTCACATGAACCTCTTTGTGGGCTGTACAGGTACCTCTAAGTGGCTGTGTGTGTGTGTTTGTGGTCTGTACAGGTACCTCTAGGTGGCTGCGTGTGTGTGTGTGTGTGTGTGTGTGTGCGCGCGCGTGCGGTAGGGTCTATGTCAGCTGTGAATAACCGAGCGTCCGAGTGTGAAAGAGATTAGGTGTTGGGAAGTCCATAGGTGTAGCCATGTGTGGGTACGATGAAGATCCGGGGTTCTTTGTGGACCTGTGTGTGTACATGCGCGGTGTGTGTGCTCCCCTCCGGAAGACAAAGCCACCCTTCCAAACCCCGCATCACGGATGCACCAGACGCCGGGGTGAGAGGCCCCCCGCCTGCGAGGGGTCTCCAGCTGTATGTAAATGCCGCCATCTGCCGGACGGCCGCGCCCCTCCCCCTTTGGGCCGCAGCTGGGCCGCCCGTTTGGCCTCCGGAAGGTGTGAGGAGCAAATGGGCAGGAAATTCCGTCTTCGCAGATCAAGGGGCCCCCGCTCGCTCACAATGGGGGGAGGGGGCACCCCCGGGCCCTCCAGAAGCCCCTAAGTATTCCCGGACCACGGCAAGGAAAGCCCGGTGGTGGGAGTAGATGCTCCAGCCTCTGGTCATAAACGCTTTGTGCCAGGTGCTGAGTAAAGTCCTTAGGTGACGCCAACTCCTTCCCCGCACTCCCCGCCCCCCCCCCCGCCCCGCAAGAAAACATTTGAATACTTACAGGCTAATAATTACAGGGGAAAATACAGGTTCGATTTACAAACTTATTTTTCTTTTAGAGAAGACAGGATGATCAGTAAAGTATAGCCCAGCAGAACCGGGCATACACAAGTGCTCATCAATTCTTAATGAAGGAGAGTTCAGTTAGAGTTTCCTCTTAGGGGTGCCCGGCTGGCTTGGGCAGTGGAGCGTGCGACTCTTGATCGCGGGGTTGTGAGTTCAAGCCCCACATTGGGTGTAGAGAGTACTTAAAAATACAATCTTTTTTTTTTTTAAGATTAATTATGGAGAGCACGCAAGTGCAGGGAGGGGCAGAGGAAGAGAGAGGGAGAGGGAGCGCAGACTCCCCAATGAGCTCAGCGCTGGATGCTGAGCTCCATCCCACAACCCTGGGATCATGACCTGAGCCTTCCGAAATCAAGAGTCTGTCCCTCAACCAACTGAGCTACCCAGGCCTCCCAAAATAAAGTTTTTTTTTTTTTTAAGTTTCCTCTTAATCTTGAGGACTGGAGTCATGAGAGTCTTTTGAGCAGGGGAGGGCCATGGTCACTGTGCGGACACCCCAGGCTCCTTCGCACAGGTCTTTCCTCTGCTCATGTCCACTCTGCTCCCTCCTCTATTGAATTCCTTTCTCAGCAGATTCCTCCTCCTGCAGGCACTTCCCTAACACTCACCAAGGTGGTCACGCACCTACTGAGTCCCACAGCCCCGATTCCTCTCTCCCAGCCGTGACCACTCTGGTCTATGGGGTCTAAGTACAAATCTGACCATGTCCCTCTCCTGCAGACTCCTGCATGGCTCCCCAGTGCCTTCAAAATACACTCTGAGGGGTGCCTCAGTGGCTCAGTCTCTTTAGCGTATGACTCGATTTCAACTCAGGTCTTGATCTCAGGTTGAGTTCAAGCCCTGAATTGGGCTCCACGCTGGGCATGGAGCCTACTTTAAAAAAGAAAAAGAAAAAGAAAGAAAAATACACTCCAGGGCGCCTGGGTGGCTCAGTTGGTTAAGCGACTGTCTTCGGCTCAGGTCGTGATCCCAGCGTCCTGGGATCGAGCCCCGCGTCAGGCTCCCTGCTCCTCAGGGAGCCTACTTCTCCTGGAGCCTGCTTCTCCCTCTCCCTCTGCCTGCCACTTCACCTGCTTGTGCTGTCAAATAAATAAATAAAATCTTTAAAAAAAAAAAAGAAAAATACACTCCAAGACTCTAAGGTTGACGTTTGAGGGGCCCCCCCCCCCGGCCACATCCCCTTACTCAAACTGGCTCTGTTGCCCAAAGCAGAGAGCCAAACATCGTGGACCAACTACTGGGAGTCAAGTTAGGCCCTGTACTGGGGTAGGTGGAGGAGTGAGCTCATCACGGGAGACAATCAAATGGAATTTGGACAGTCTTTAGAACCAGCTGCGGGAGATGGCCAAGTCCTGCCCTGGATGATAACTTGGGAAGGTAACAGATTCCAGGTCTATCTCTAACATTTTAAAAAGCTTATAAATATAGCCAGGCTTTACTGAAAGTTTGTGCCAGAAATGATAATGTTTCAGGTGAATTCTGTCACGTCTGTGTGTGAGGTATACTTTTAAGAGATTTTCATGGAGTCTCTCTGGCTATTCAGGACTTTTCCTTACCAGCTGATCTTAGTGCCCACAGGCCATGCTGCAGTGACATCTGAGCAAAGATCTAAGGTGGGGGTAAGAAGAGGAAGTGATATGCATCCTGGTAAAATATTCCTGACACACGGAACAGCAAAGTGCAAAGGCCCTGAGGTGACCGTGCCTGACAAAGAGATCCCCATGGCTTTCCCCATTTCCTTGTGATCTGTCAGATACACCCTCCCAAGAGACCTTCCTTGGCTGCTTCATCCAATCTAAATCACTACCTCAAATCCCCAAACCACTCTACTTACCATACCTTATTTTTCTTTATGCGTTTATTACCTCGAGAAATATCTGACCATTGTTTCCTCCATGAGGGGAGAGCTTTTTATCTAATTTGCTCACTGATGCACCCTCGTGCCTAGAACGAGGTTGGGCAATCAGCACTTAGGAAATATTGGTGAGTCAGTCAATGAACGAGGGAGGTACTATAATGAATCTCTTATGAATGAGTAAACCAAGACCCTTGAGGCCTAGCCCGGGTTATAGATAGTACACTTTGGGGCTGGGCAGGTCAAATTTTAACACTTCTCTGTGAGTCTTTAAAAAAAACTTATAGAGGTGCACCTGGGTGGCTCAGTAGTTAAGCGTCTGCCTTCGGCTCAGGTCATGATCCCAGGCTCCTGGGATTGAGTCCCGCATCGGGCTCCCTGCTCAGCGGGGAGACTGCTTCTCCCTCTCCCACTCCCCCTGCTTGTGTTCCCTCTCTTGCTCCTCTGTCAAATAAAAAAAACAAAAAACAAAAAACAAAAAACCGTAGAGTCCAGAGATTCGATCTGGCCCACGCAGTTACATTTTAATTATTGTAACAAACACCAGAGGATGTCTTTTAAAAATATTTTAACTGGTACTAGCACTAAGTACTGGCTGGAGGAGAGGCTGGGCCAGCCGGGGGTGGGGGCCGTCAACGTGGTCCAGAATATTTCAGTCTGTGAAGAGCCAGTATGGGAACCGGGTGAGAAGGCCCACAGGAATTTACACACCGCCGAGTGCGGGCTGTCCTGTTACAATAGCTGGAAGACAGGTCCCACCATCACCCCATCTGTGAGCTAAGGTAGCAGAGGCACACGGACACATGGCCCAAGGTCCACAGCTCCCATCTGAGCGCCTCACTCAGGCCTCCAGCCTAGCCTACCAGCTAGGTACTGTTACCCTTACAGATGGGGAAACTGAGGCACAAAAGGCAAAGTAACCTGCCCGAGACCACACAAGGCGGGAAGTGGCAAAGCTGGGATTTGAACGTGGCCACTCGGGAACCCAGACTGTGGAAGGGCACGCGACTGTGCCGTCCCCTGCAGGGGCCACGAGCCACAGGTGGCCGCTTAAATGAAGGTTACTTAAAATGATACGAGCAGAAGCTCCAGTCCTCAGTTACCCTGACACTGCAGGTACTCCATGGCTCCGTCCGACCATGACAGTGCAGATACGGGACACGGAATAAACATCACAGAAAGTTCCAGCGCACAGTGCCACCACACCGTCTGTCTGTCCCAGTTAAGAGCCAACATTTCACAAGAGACTTAATATATAAATCCCAAATTCAGGCTTCTATTGGAAAAGCAGATCAAGCAACACCAGGCGCACCTTCCCACAGGGCCACAGCCAACAGAGGGGGTGGCAGCCACCCTCTCGGGCCGGGAGGAGCTCTGCTCCGCCAGAGCCCCCCTCCCCCTGCACCCCCCTCCTTCCCTGAGCCCACACTTGGGGCATGCACACAGCGGCCGGGCAGGGACCTGCCTCTCCAACCCCCCCTGCCGCCCTCCCTTCCCTTTCCCACAGATGAGGAATCTGGGGCCATGGAGTGAGACGCACTTTTTGAGGTCACATGGCACACGGGAAGATGCGGCCAGAGGGACCCGGGTTTGCGGATTCCCAGGCCAGGGTTCAAAACCAATCCTGATCCACCAAAGGACCTACTCCGTGCTGGGCAGCCCATCGGCCACTGTGGGACGATGACCCAAGAGTCCCGGACCTCACCCTGATGCCCCCAGCTGGAGACTCTCCGGACACAGGAGTGTGGCATCTGGG